TCTTATCCAATCAAGTGCCAATAGCCCAAGAAAATAGGGATAAGATAAGGCTGCAGCAGCACAACTCATGGATTTTCACTCCCAAACCTAAAGCCCAATTAACCAACCACCTTTTCCTATTTAAAGAGGACTACATTACGAATTCAAGAGGCTGGGAAGAATGTAGTACCCCACACCACGTTTTAGAGAGAGAAAGTAAGATTCTTGGAGGAGGAAGAGCTGCTGGAGCATTGCTGGAGCAAGACCGTGACAAATTTTTACAACAACATTCGTTTTCATCTTCTTTTCTGTTTTTCAATGAGTTCTTTCTTCCTCTTCTCTGTTTTATTTAATTTCATTATGAGCTAAATTGCTCCTTAGGTTAGGTGATAGAGTACCTATGCTGTAACATTGAAATGTATGCCTAAACTTTGTTTTTATTAATGTTTAATTAGTTTTTCAATGAGTTTACTTATTCTTATTCATGTATGCATGTCGAAAGATATATATATGATATTGAGGAGGTTGGGGCCGAGAGGTTTCCAAATCCAGACCCTTGTTGAATTGTGTGGATTAATTAGGTTAAAGTTAACTTGATTAAGTTGTGAGTAGAGAGATCATTCACACCACATAGCCTTTGAACTTGAACTTTAACAATTCAGTAATTAGTTTGGCCATAGAGATGTGGGAATTAATTATTGGGTATATATGTTAGGTTGGCCAAAAGCCCCAGCATACCTTAGTGTTCGGTTACTAATTAAGCATTGATATATCATCGTTAAAGCATTATTTCAGTATTGCTGTATCAAGAAAATTGAACCTGACCTATATCTCATCCATCATTTAATACCTTATAATTAGTTTACTGTTTTCTTAGTTTAATTGTCTTTTATTTTATAAATCCCACCATAAAAATCAATATTTTTATAATTTCTTTACTTAAATAATCATTGCTTTATAAATCATCTCCGTGGGAACGATCTTGGACTCACACATCCCTTTATTACTTGTGACACGTGCACTTGCGTATTTGTGTGATTGATTTAATTGATTGCAAATTGCACAACAATCTTCAATGGAATCTTCACTAGAATCTCCAATCATATCTTTAATCTAATCCTTCAAATCTTCTCTTTTATATTTAAAGGAAAACTTTCCTTAAAAATATTCAAAGGAAGATTTGATAAGATCTTCAATGATTCAGAAATCCAAAGCAACTCTACTTGATCTCTCCAATTTATCTCTTTATTGAGCTGAAATTTACTGCAAAATATAAGAAATCTTATGAAAATATTATTGAGAATAAAATAACAATTTAATTATAATTCTCATAACTTTTAATTACTTTTAAATCAATTTCATGCTCATATTGACCCTTAATACATAGTAATTTGGAGACTCATCACATAACCCCGTAAACAAAACCTCAAACAAGGCCTTATAACTCCATCAACACAACAATCATACTCCTCAATCCCTTACAAAATCCAGAAGTACAAAGCCCAACAAAGTATGTCATCCAACCTAAAGAACTGTTAACCCCGCTGCTCCATGCTTCTTTTGTTCATGCGCACACTGAGACCCGACCCCATCACCTATTGGTTTTGTAACTTTTCTTTTCCTACTTATTTTTTGGGATTTTTCTTTCCTAATCTCTTAACATTTTCCAAGCGTTTGTATGCACTTTTACCTTAAAAGAATCGAACCATTTTATATCTAAATCAAAAATTCATTCTTTGTTATCTTACAAATTTTTAAAAGAATTAAAACCTAATCCCAATTGATAAATGTAGAAGAACTCTGTTTTGATAAAAAAATGATTGAGCCTGGGGTCCAATTCCACAAGAAAACTAATTGTAAAACTTAGACAAAATACCACTGTAGAGCAATTGACTAAAACAAATGCCTTTTAATGCGTATTGGAAAAGATATTTCACAGTAATTAAGTCAAACCCATAGTCAAAGTGTACGAAACCAGTCCGGACGCAATGTTTACGAGACTCCAAGCCACATAAGCAATCCCACATTTGATGCATGCATGACTTGGGCCTTACAAGGCTGATCACGCACTGTTTCAGTGCAAAACTAGTCCCACACGTACGTCATACAAGACTATTCTTGTATGTTGTACATGTGGGACTAGTCCCGCATTGACACAATACGTGATTTGTAACATCCTACATAGAACAATATTTTGCACTATTTAAATTATGACAGAAATTAACACTGCCATTATCATAATTAATTATACATAAAAGAGATGTACCGAGTACAATTGTTTCGTCCCAATGATTATAAACTTAAAAACTATTCACATACTCGATCTTACTTCCTACTCTTATTTATATATTATATAGAGTATCACTACAAGTTTGAGTTCTACTAGTTGCCCATATTAAACTGAACTGTTTCTATATCATCTGGATAAAATACAACAGTCACTCCTCGTGTTCCAAGCATAACACAAAATTCAATTTTTTCTTCATCAATGGAGAGCATCATCCCTCATCCGTCTCCTGTTAGGAAAATGCTTGGCATGATTCCCTTATGGACATGTTAGCATAAAAAAAAAATATTGTGAGATAAATCTATCTCAAACAATTTCCCTTTGATTTGAAGAGTTCAGTTTTTACAGATTTGAAATGTGATTATTTTTTCTCCAGTAGGAAGAAAGACTTCGGGATGAGAAGATAGAATGAAAATTGGCAACTTCAATTTTTTAGCAGAAGATAAGGAGATGAAAAAATGAGTTGCCCCAGAATCATAAAGTACAATTATAAGAGAGTTTTGTATTAGCCCCATACCTTGAACCAAGTTTGAAGCTTGAGTCGCTTCCTGGCCACTGAGAGTAAAAACTCTTCCTTTTGTTGCAGCTTGATTAGATGAACTTTCACTCTGATTTTGAGGACATTGTCTCATCATGTGTCCAAACTTCCCACACTTAAAGCACACGCCCCTTCTTGCTAGGCACTCTCCCACATGATTCTTCTTGCATTTTGGACATACCTGAATCTGAGAATTCACTTGACCTGCATTCTTCCTCTCTCTATCGCTAGCAAAATTGTTTCCCGAGTTTGTACTCGTAGAAACCTCCCATTGTTGTTGTCGTCACTCCTTTTCCTTCTCTGGTTTGAACCTCTGGCTTTCTTCCTTGCCTCCTCAGCTTCCATCATGCTTGCTTCAATGTCTCTGCACCTGTTTATTAGTGATGAAAAATTTCTTATTTGATATCCTATTATCATACTTTTAAGTTCAGGTTTGAATCCAGATTCAAACTTAGTTGTTAACCAATCTTCATTAGGTTGGTTCTGTCTATAATTGGAATATCTGGATAGTTCCTCAAATTTTGCCACATATTCACCAACAATCATATTTCCTTATTTTAATTCAAGGACTTCTATTTCTTTCAAGTTTCTTACACTTTGAGGAAAATGTTTTTCTAAAAAGGTATATTTAAATGTTGACTAAGTAATCTCTATTCCTTGCCTTTGGAAATGTCTTTTAGTATTTAGCTTTTCCAATCAATATATATGTGGCAAAATTTACACGATAATTAATGGGACTGTCCGGGTGTGCATGACAACCTTTCCAGATCATTTTATTTTAATTTCTATTCCCGGAAACATAAATGGAAAGAAAACTCGTTTGGTAAAATCAATTTATTTTTTTGTTCCCGAGATGAACCGATTTAATTTTTGTGCAGGGGAACATAAAAAAAATCAAAAAATTTCTGCTTTTTTGTTCCCGGGCAAAAGATGAGAAACACTTGTCTTTCTCAATCACTCTCCACCACTACCAGGATCACCACCAACACCACCATAATCTCGAAACGATCACCGCCACCATCGTCGCCCCTGTCATCGTTTACCAGTGCCGTCGTCACCACTACCACCATCATCTTGACATGACCACTGCCACCATTGTCGCCGACGTCATCGTGCCACTAGCACCGTCATCACCACCACCACCTCTATCCACCACCACCACCACAACAATATTTTTCTCAGAAACTGTTCCGTGACACAGAAATAGAAAAGAATTATTTCTTTTCAGAAACAGTGTCAGGGAACAGAATGATTGTCATGCACACCCTCCACTCCATTACCAAGAATATTTTCTCAAGTTCTTTAACCCTTCCACTGCTGCCTCAGGGTTATAATTCCATAAAAAGTGAAAAGTTTATGCTTACGAAATTCAGTTAGTTCTTTGTAATCAGGATTAGGTTCTCCTTGGGCACGTTTAGAGTTATGAGTGTGATTTCTGGTTGCAGAATCCTATTTCACTTTCATAGTTAAGTATGGATGTAATTTAAAATATCAAAACTTAATTTGATTTATAACGCTATAATTTATGGGTTTTATTAATGTTATCTAACATAATTAAAGTGTTGTTTCCAACACATACAATAAAAGGGAGAGAGAAAGTGAAATGATGAAAAAGAAAGAAAAATATGTTGACCCCACCTCTTTAATGTGTGTAGGAAAGTAAGGTTATAATGTTATATTATGTTACATGATAAACACAAAAACCATAATTTATACTTTTTTTTTTTGAAGTTACAAGGAATTGAACACAACACCCTACTCTACACACACTCCTAACACACACACCCCACACCACTAAGCTAACCCTAGTGGTGCCTATAATTTATACTCTTAATCTATTGATCCTATTTATATTTAATAATTTTAATTCATTAAATATGTGAACTGTTAAATATAAGCAACTGAGTGAACGAGATTTGATTTAAGATTTTTTATTTTATATTGGTTTAAAAAAGTTGTAGTTGTAGTTGGCTTGCACCCACCCGTGACGCGTGCCGGCAGGGATTCACAATCAAATTCCTTTTAATTTTCAATATTATATAACCATTATTTCATAGTAATTCCTTTTTTTTTTTTTAATTTATTTATTTATCTTTTGTTGTTATTTATAGCCTCCTGTTCTTTCGGAGGCCGCTCTCAACTCATCTGCAACTGCAAAAGGAAGAGCTTGAAAAACACGCATTCGCAGATGGCTCCGAAAAATTCCTCGTTTAAGGTTTGGGGCATTTCACGTTTATTCCTAACATATTCCAATGTATGAAATGATGTATATTATCCACCAACTCTGCACCATTTACGGTACATAATTTATTTCACTTCCGCAATATTTATTTTGTTATTGATAAATAAATAACTGAATAAACCGTGTAAACTTTATTTTTATGTCATACAACTTCTCAATATATGCATATTACATTCTTAAATTTAGCATTGCAATGATAACTGATTAGTGATATGCTTTGTTTCTTCTTCTTCCTCTTCTTCTTCTTAATATGTAAAAAGTAATCCCAAAATATAAAGCTATTAATGTATGAGTTTGTTATTTTGAACAGATAATTCTGGGTTCTTCTTCAAAGGCTCGAAAACAGATTCTTGCTGAGATGGGATATGAGTTCACAATAATGGTAATGTTATAATGTATTGCGTGAAACTTGTAAATCTAATTCATTACTATGATGAAAATATTGAAAGGGTTTAGCTTGGCGTACAATTTAGACTGCAGACATTGATGAGAAAGGTATTAGGAGGGAAAAGCCAGAAGATTTGGTAATGGCATTAGCTGAGGCAAAGGTATTGATTCTTTAGTTTCCTCTTTATTTTTTTTGCCATGTATTTATTTTATTTTATTTTATTATAAATCAATTACTTCCTCTTAGGTTGCTGTGGGATAAGAATTACGGCTCAAGAATAGTTATGAGTTATTGGTGGTTGTTCTTGATGGACTGCATCAATTTTTTTTTAGAGTTCTCATTTGACTTTGCGAATCCTTGGGCACCATTTTCCCTTTTACTTTTTAAAACAATTAAACTTGTTTCTTTTATTGATAAATAGTCTTTATCAGAGTCTCTATCTCTGTAGTGATGTAGTGCATTTGGCAGTTATAGTTTTAAAATGGCTGGTGAATCATTTTGCGTATTCTCTATGATACTTAAAGACTGAAGAATACTGGAATATTGTGTGAACACTCAGGGTGGTTTGCTTGTTTGAAGAGAAAAAATTAGAAGATGGAAAAGAGGGTGATTAATGAAGATGGGGTGGAATGCAATGATTTTCATTTTCACTCGTTGCTTGGTAGAGGGTGGAAAATCTCTTTCAGCTCATTTCATGCTACAGGAGTGACTAAAATTTTTGGGGTGAAGTGTAAATGAGTTGCACTCCAGTTTCCACCTTCCTAAACTTCTTCTGTATCAAGTTTGAAGTAATATTCATTCTGAATTTTTTATCTCCTCAAAAACAAGCACACCCTTGAGCATGAGGAGCCAGTTGAAAAACAAGATCATATATTTGTTTGATTTCTAATAATATTTATTCGAAGAATGCAAGACATATATGAGGTCTTTGCTTCTGATTTTTTTGTGACTGAATGTACAAATAGATTAAAGCTTGTCATGTCCCCATCCAGAAACTTGCTCTTAAAAACTAATTTAATTAAAATAGAAAAGTATAACATAGAGTTGAGAGGTTGTACCTGTTGAGATATATAGTCTCACATTGGTTGTATGTGCAACTAATGTGGCCTTTATAAGACCTTGGGCACTCCCACCCTTTGAGCTAGCTTTTGGGGTGGTGTATCTCAAGGTTCTTTACATGGTATCAGAGCCTCGCCGCCCCCCACTTTCTCTTGTGGACTTTCTTAGCACAAGTAGGCTGGGCCTGTTGCATCTTCCACTCTTCAAGCCCAGCGGGCTCTCGTGTGAGGGGGCGTGTTGAGATATATAGTCCCACATTGGTTGTATGTGCAACTAATGTGGCCTTTATAAGACCTTGGGCACTCCCACCCTTTGAGCTAGCTTTTGGGGTGGTGTATCCCAAGGTTCTTTACAGTACCCATGAGCAATTTAAAATTCTCCTCATCTATTGATTTTTCCAAGGTACATTTAGTGTTCTAACCTTGATATTCTTATTAGGCTGATGCTATTTTGCAAAGGCTCTTTGCTGGAGGTCCATTGGACGAAGATGCTTCTGCAACACTTTTAATTACTGCAGACACCGTATGCATCATTCTTTCTCTTTCACTCTTTGTTTGTTTAAATTATGCATCGTTTATAAGAAATTACAGCTAACTTATGTCCATGACTTTAGCTTTCCTGTTACTGATAATATCTGTGTTACTTTATCTCAGTTCTGATTTCTACCAACCTAGTCTTACTTATACAGTTGTCCTAAGCAATCGGATAAAAGAAGAATCATATAAATCAATTTTATTTTGATAAAAGAAGAATATGTTAGTTGCAAGCAAGAAAGGAGAGAAGGTACATCTGGGAGAAAAATAAGGAATCCTCATAAGCAGAAGCTTATTAGAAGATGTTCCCAAGCCATGGGCTTCCCTCCATTTTCCTATATGAAACAGATTAGTTATTCTGAGAATGTTAACACGAATTAAAGTAGACGAACCTACAGAAAACATAAATCAAAGTATCAAACTAAGTTGTGTATCTGGTGTATTAACCTTCTCTAATGCAAATTCCATTTCATTACAAGTCAGGTAAAAGATTTGGCTTAGACAATGCGCTGTTTATTTACATTTTCTACATTTGGGGTCATCATTTGTCCCACCTCACATTCTATATACTCCTGCTTAAACTTTTATGTCACAATCTAAATCCTAAATGGCCACCTTTAACTGATTTTGTTATGGTTAAAGTCAAGACTTCTGTAAGACTGTTTGTTTTGCTAAATGTTTTGTAGGTTGTGGTGTATAGAGGAATAATCAGGGAAAAACCAACTAGTGAAAAAGAAGCACGGGAATTCATCAAAGGTTTGCATGACGGATTAAGTCCCCTCCTTTTCTTGTTGGGAATTATAGGCAGATATAATAGCCACATTTATAAATTTGAACAATTTGCAGGATATTCTGGGAGTCATGCAGCTGTGGTAGGATCTGTTGTGGTAACTAACCTCGTGACTGGAAAACGTTATGGGGGATGGGAAAGTGCAGAGGTACAAGCTGCTGCTGCTTGAGCTTATGTATAATCTATGTTCTTCTGTGGCAATAAAAATTAAATTATTTTGTGCTATTTGGGTCTTTAGGTGCCTAAAAAAGTTAATTTATTCATTTGAGGAAGAACCTTGTAACATATTCAATAGATGCCGGAAATGCTTTTTTGAGGTTAATGATTTGTTGACTATGCTCAGTGTAAGAAAGACTCACTCTCAGGGAAAGAAATTTTCTTCTTCACATGAAAAAGTGATACCCACTTTTTTTTCCTTTCCCCATCAGACTCAATGTCTTTTAGCTACCAACCAGGCTGCATTGTTTTCACTGACACACATTTCATTCATTAATTGAATATTCTCTTCCTAGATGACTAACATTTGTTACTGTTATGACAGGTTTATTTCCATGAAATACCAGATGAGGTCATTGATAATCTGGTAAGCTTTTTAGAAGTACACTTTTCACCCTTGCACTGACTTAAGTATGAAGGTGAAAAGAGTACTTTAACCAGTTTCTCAAAACATATGTTCTTTTGAAACTTTCTTTCAGGAAATTCTTGTCAACCTGAATACTATATGAGTTCTCTTATTTGATGGGAGCTTCTCAGATTGACGAGGAAATTACATTCAACGTTGCTGGGGGTTTGATGCTGGAACATCCACTGACATTACCCTTTGTGGATGCAGTGGTTAGTTATCTTGCTTTCTCAAGAACACTCACAGAAGCATATGCATTAAAAACATGGTCATTTGGAATATTTGTAGCTTTAGCCTTCACTCATTTTTCACACTTATATGCCAACGGAGTTAATTTTCTAGATAAGCAAGATTTAAAATGGTTGTCTTCAGTCAGATGTAAATGTGGATTCGTCCCACTTTTCTCCATTTTATTAACAAAATGTGCTGTGTGATCCTTGTGGTAGGTTGGGTCAACTGATACCGTGATGGGACTATCCAAAGCTCTTACCGAGAAACTCTTATTGGAAGCTCTATAGCTGCTGCAATAGTACAATTATATTCTGATTGATACCATGTGCTAGCTGAGTGAGAATATTACTGCATTTATATTCAAATGTTTTGTTTCCACCGATTCATGTAATACAAAATACAAACAAGAATGCCCGAGACCATGCTGATTTTTGTTCTATCAAGAGCTGAAAAAGGCTTTTATTTAACTTTTATGCTTCACTTCCCAGTCTCGCGTGCATGACATGATTGGTCAGTATTAGCTACTTGTTAAAGATGGTATGTGTTATGTTCAACTGTTCACTAACCAGAATCAAAAGGGAAAAAGAACAATAAGAAAATCCAAAATAAGATGCAAAAAGAAGCCATTTCTTTAGGTGGATGGATATACACGCTTATACTAGGTAGACGGGAGCGTTAAATTTTCTTCTACTCTTCCTAACTTCATCTTCACATAAAATTCTCAAAACTAATTAGTTTAGCTAACTGCCTGGACTATATGCTTAGAAAGAAGAAAGCCCATCTGGCTGAGTGATGCACTGGACAATCCCGTCATGCTTATACTACGTAAAGACGTGATTATGTATGGTAGTTTAATTGGTGTATGGGAGCTGAGCAGGTAAGGGCGAGAGCATATGTTTGATCCTCCCCAGTCATCTTTGAGAGGGGTTTAAAGTCTTAATCTTGGTCCTGTTGTAACATCCCGTCCGCAACCGATTTGTTAACATACTATTGTAAATACTAGAATTATTTTTATTATTTTGTAATTTTGTAATAGTCAGTATTTGGGCTTAGCCCATTAGGTTTCTTTATTCTCTTTAAATAGAGAACTCTTGTACAGATAATTCACAATTTCATAATACAAAAATATTTCTTTCAATTTGGTATCAGAGCTCTCGATTCTGATGGCTCTGCTTCTGCATCTACACCTTTAAAGGAGGAATCCTTAATTTTCGCCTCTCGCCGCCATTAGCCGCCATCGGAAAATATTTTCGGGGACCTTTTGGACCGAGAGGATCACCGTTCGACGCTCCGATCACTGTTATCATTGAAATACCACTATTGATCGCCGTTGACCACTGTCTCCGGCGAGTTTTCCGACGATTTTTCCGGCGATCCACCCACGGTTGTGACCGCCACAACGAGACGACCTGTTCTGTCCAGGACCCACCTGGAGATCTGACCAGACGCGCTCTCACGCGCGTGGAAGAGACACGTTGTTCCCGGAGCTGCAGCAGCGCGTGGGACACCCTCTTCACGCGCGGCCAGCACAGACCAACTCGCCCCATTCTTCTGAGTCTGGATCTGTGGTTATCTTGGTTTTTTGATCCCGTTGCAACCTTCCCACGATGTTTCTTCCTCTGTTCGTTACTGTTCCGGCCACCTTGTTACTGTTCCGGCCAGATTTGTTACTGTTCTGGCCTCCTGGTTACTATTCTAGTAAAATTGGACCTTTATCATTCTGATCAGTCAGTTTTTTAGCAAATTTTATGTCTGACGTTGAAGATAATCCGAAAATTCAGCCTGATAATCCGATAATTCAGCCACCTGTTACATCCTCTATGGCTGCTTCTCTTAGTCCAAACGATTTGCCTGCTCTCCATCAGAATTATCATCTCAATGGAAAAAATTATTTGCACTGGTCTCAGCTGGTTCGTACAATTCTCAAAGGGTGTCGTAAGATTGCTCATCTTGAAGGACCTGTTATTGCCAAAACAAATCCAAAATTGCTGATTGGGATGATGAAGACTCTCTTATTATGACATGGCTATGGAATTCTATGACTCCTGAAGTTAGTCAATATTGTATGTTCTTACCTGCTGCTTTTGAGATCTGGAAAATTCTTCATCAGACCTATTCAATGAAACAAGATGCTGCCACTTGCTATGATCTAAGGAACAAGATTTTTTCTACCAAGCAAGGCTCTTTATCTGTAACAGAGTATTATGGAAATCTGAATGGATTATGGACTGAGCTAGATCAATATGATAGTTTGCAGATGGAGTGCAACAAGGATGCAGCCACTCTGGCTTCCTCTGTTGAATGACATCGGATCTTTGACTTTCTTTGTGGCCTCAATTCAGAATATGACCCTATTCGGGTTCAAATCCTTGGTAAGGAAAAATTACCTTCTCTTTCTAAAGTTTTTCATACTGTCAGGGGTGAAGAAAGTCGTAGGAATGTCATGATGAACACCAAGTTGTCTGAAGGATCTGTCATGATCTCATCTAAAGTCACTACTTCAACTGCTTCTGACGAGTCTGCTATGATCTCAGCTAAGTCACCTCAAGGGTCCCCTTTCTTTAAGTCACCTCAGGGGTCTTCTTCCTTTAAGCCCAACAAAGAAGGGCGTTGGTGCAATTATTGTAAAAGACCAGGTCACACAAAAGATGTTTGCTACCGTCTTCATGGGAGGCAACATGTTTTAGAGAAGCTTGGTAAGCCACCTTTACGTGAAGACTTCAGACGTGGTCAATATTTCTTGACCCCTTCAGACATTTCTCCAGTGAATGAGACACAAATGCCTGGTGAGTTTACTACTGTTCGTTATGAGGAATTGGAACGACTCAGGTCCGTATATGACTCCCTCAATAAAACTTCTGGTACTGGTACTTTGGCCATGACTGGTAAGAACTCATGCACTCATTCTTTTGTCGCTTCTGGTACTGATTTCAAAACTTCATGGATTGTGGATTCTGGTGCTACTGATCATATGACTTGCTGCAATGATCTTTTTCTTTCTTATAATCCTACTATTGGTCTCCGTACTATAACCGTAGCTGATGGAGCACACACATCAGTTGCAGGTTCTGGCAATATTAAAATCCAGCCCTCCTTGTGTCTCAAAAATGCTCTCCATGTTCCCCGCCTATCTACCAATCTCATTTCTACTCATAAGCTTACTACATACTTGAATTGCACTGTAAACTTTTTCCCTACTCATTGTGTTTTTCAGGATCTCGCCACGGGGAAGACGATTGAAGTTGCTAAGGAGCAGGGTGGGTTGTATCATCTGGTTCCAGATTTTGCTGCAGAAGGTACTGGGGATCAGACTTTGACGAATCCTCAGCCTACATCAGATTCTCTCATTTGGCTTCATCACAAGCGCTTGGGTCATCCTTCTTTTAGTTTACTTAAGTCTATGTTTCCGTCTTTGTTTGTGTCGCAGTCTGTTGAGTCTTTTAATTGTGATGTTTGTCAATTTGCAAAACATCATCGTGTACCTTTTCCTTCTAGTGAAATAAAAAGTGTTGAACCTTTTACCATTATTCATACTGATGTTTGGGGACCTTCCAAGGTACCTAATGTTTCTGGTGCCAAGTGGTTTGTTTCTTTTATTGATAATTATACTCGGACTACATGGATCTTCTTGATGAAAGATAAGATAGAAGTAACACAGTTGTTTATCCAGTTTTATTATATGATTGAAACTCAGTTTGGTAAACGTATCAAACGGTTGAGATCAGATAATGGTACCAAATATGTTAATCAACATCTTTCTCAGTTTATTAAAGACAAAGGAATGGTTCATGAACTCACATGCGTAGATACCCCTCAACAAAATGGGGTTGCTGAACGGAAAAATAGGCATTTGCTTGAAGTCACCAGAGCATTATTGTTTCAGACATCTGTGCCCAACTTTTACTGGGGCGAAGCTGTATTAACTGCAACCTGTTTGATCAAGCGCTTACCTTCCAGAATCCTTGGCCATGTAAGTCCTGTTGATCTAATGACCTCTTTTTTTCCTTCTGTCCCAATTATGCAGTCTCCAGTCTCGTGTCTTTGGATGCGTTGTCTTTGTTCATGTCCATAAACAACATTGGAGTAAATTAGAGCTTAGAGCCCTTAAGTATGTCTTCCTTGGTTATGCTCCCAACAAGAAAGGATACAAATGTTATCATCCTCCGATTCGTAAATTCTTTGTGTCTATGGATGTTAGCTTTCATGAATCTGAGTCATACTTTCTACCTCCTCAACTTCAGAGGGAGAACAATATTGAAGCTCCTTCTAATTTCTTTGAGTCTGAGTTTTCCCTTCCGTTACCTTTGAGTCCTAACCCAATGGTTACACCATATGACAATGCGAAGGAAGACTTAGTTGATGAGGCTGAAAGTTCATCTGATTCCTCCTGTGACATGCCTCCAATTGATCGACAGAAAGTACGCAAAGCTGGGACACCTGAACTATTTTACCAAAGGAAGAGACAACCCACACTGCCCCACCAGCAACTGCAGTCTCCTGAACCGCTGGTAAGTACTGAAAACACTACTTCTGTTGTTCCTAAGCATGATATTTATTCTGTTGACTTACCCATTGTTATAAGAAAAGGGAAAAGGTCTTGTACCCAACACCCTATTTCTCATTTTGTCTCCTCTAAGAATCTCTCTATGTAGCATAGAAGTTTTATTACAGCACTTGACTCCATTTCAATCCCGGAATCAGTACATGAAGCATTAAAGGATGACAATTGGGTTCAAGCCATGAATGATGAGATGAATGCATTAGAGAAGAATAATACATGGGAAGTCGTTGACAGGCCAAATGGAAAAAGGGCAGTAGGATGCAGATGGGTATATACTCTGAAATATAATTCTGATGGGACTCTTGAAAGGTATAAAGCTCGACTGGTTGCCAAGGGATACACACAGACCTATGGCATTGATTACGAAGAAACATTTGCTTCAGTGGCCAAAATGAACACTGTAAGAGTTCTATTGTCCCTTGCTGCTCATTCTAATTGGGATTTGAGACAATTTGATGTAAAAAATGCCTTCCTCAATGGCAAATTAGAAGAAGAGGTTTACATGGAGATTCCACCAGGATTTAACTCCACAAATGGAGAAAACAAAGTTTGCAGGTTAAAGAAGGAATTGTATGGCTTGAAGCAATCCCCGCGTGCTTGGTTTGGAAGATTTACAAAAGTTATGCTTTCATTGGGGTACAGACAAAGTCAAGGAGATCATACACTTTTCTTTAAACATTCTCAAGAAGGTAAGCTCACTATCCTTCTTGTTTATGTTGATGACATTATTATAACAGGAGATGATATAGATGAGAAGCATTGTAACACCCCGTTCTAGAACCGGTTTGTTAACATTATGTATGGCATTAGGCGCAGTTACAATCACAACAATTGAATTAAAGTACGGATAAACTTTTTCC